TCTTGGATTGTTTGTGGGGTTGCAAAATTGATTTTGAGAAAATGAACTATACTAATTAAAATACTTTAAATTAAATAATATAAATAATACAAAAAACTTAAACTAAAATCTAATTAAATCTAGATAAATACAAATGATTAAATAACTAATAGAGAAAATAAATGACTAAATTAAAATCTTCTAATTTAATGAAATAAATTAATACTAATGACCTAATATCAAAAATTAAATAAATATAACGGTAATTAAAATCAACAAAAACCTAATTATTTGAATTAATTTAAAACTATTTAATTAGAAGACTAATAAATGAATGATAAATGATAACAATTAATAAAGTCAAATAAAAATAGAATAACATAAAAACATAATTAATTAAACTAAACTAAATTATTTCTTAATTATTTAATTAAGAAACAAATAAATAAATAAAGGTATAAAATAAAACAACATCTTAAGTATCTAAATAAACTAATATAATTACAAAATTTAACTAGGAAATAAGTAAATAAATAAAATAAATAAAAGGAAATAAATTAAACAAATTGAATTTAAATCTAAACTAAACTAATAAAATACCATTTAAAAATAAATCGCAAATGAAATGTATAACATGCGGACGTAAAACGGAAGCACCAAAAGTATCAGCGCGAGATGAACCACTCGGAAGAAAACAACATTTCGTCCGTTTTCGAAATAAATTTTATCCGTTGAAACAGTTTAAATTGTCTAAAATGCGACTGATTCGGTTGTAATTCCAATAAGTTCATTCTGACTGATAATATTGAGATATGCAAGAAATGATTGATAAAAAATGATATACAAAAGATCAAAGAATCTAAGGGTAAAATTTGGAGTATGACAGTTGTTCTAATTAAATAACTTTACCGGATGACATGAGTGATGGAAATCCTCATTAAATTATGGTGAAAGGTATTTAAATACAGAAAATCGGAATTTTGCCCTTAGATGCAATGACATGCTATGCCATGGACAAAAGAAAACTATACAATGCAGACATACAATAAATTCTAGTATGATGAAAATGATGGGATGATAAATGCAAAATGCAGACAAGGAAAGAAAACAAACATGGATAGAGTCAACACTATGAGTAACCACTCATTAGGGATGACAAACAACATCGGGGAAACAGAAAAAAAACTGGAGAAATCTAAAGTGATTGAGCAATCAAGTCTGAGCATGACCGGCTGGCATTTAGAAGGAAAGGATCCTCAATGGAGATTGAACCGGAAAGACGGTCTCCATTGGGAAAAGAAAACAACATAACCTCACTGGAATTAGAACCACAAGATGAGCTTCAATAATGGTATCTAGAATGATTGATCATCAAGTTCAAGAGTGACTAGATGACATTCTAGAATAAAAAGATCCTCAATGAAGGTAGAACTAGAAAGACGGTCTCCACTGGGGAAAGAAAAGCTTCACAAATGAGTGATATCGTTAAAGAGTTGACAGAAAGACATATTGTAACATCCCAAATTTATTGGAATATTTATTTAATTTATTTAAATATGAATATTTGTATTTTTGGTGATTTCCGGTGGTTGGTGGGAAATGTTGAGAATTATGGATTTTTGGTTATTTATTTAAATAATAATATATAATATGAATATATTGGTATTATTATTAATTTAAATAAATATAAGTTAACTAAGGGTAAATTGGACAATTATGGAGGAGTTAGTGAGGGTAATATTGGGAAAGCCCAATTTATATGCCCAAAGTTAGGTTTAATAAAAAGGGATTTTTGAGGGAATTAGGGTTCATTCTTGTTAGACCGTGAAAAGGGAAGAAATAGAGGCCAGAGCTCTGAGGAAGAGGTTTGAGGCAAAAGCTTCGCAAGGTTTTCGAGAATCCAAAGAGAAAGGCTTAGAGTCGGAAAATTAAGGTATGGGGAGTATTACCTTCATTGTTTTCAATATGTGATTTCAATGTATTTAAAGCCGATTTAAGGGTTTAAAGGGTTTGAGGCTGATTTTGAGATAAGGGAAATTAGGCCTTCGTGGCCAAAATCTATTATTGAGGTTTTTACCATAGGGATTTGAACTGATGATCTGATAGGATTGAGGTCGATTTGGGTTTGAGGGAAAGTAGGCCTTCGTGGCCAAAATTTGTCGTTAAGGTTTCAACCCTGTAGGGTAATTAGATTGTGAGAAACTCTAATGACTGTGGTATAGTTGTAAGGAAATTATGGGAATTAGAGCGTGAATATGATACGGGATTTTGGCCTAATAAGTCGTAGATTTTTTTGCCTTTATCGTCGTAATACCTTAGAAATGATTTAGGGATGTTTTGGGGGCATTGAGGAAGGAAATCGTGGGGCTTTTGGACTGGTTTTAAGTTCTGGTGCATAACTGTGTTTTGCTGTAATCGCGTGCTCGCACAGCGAAGAATCCTTCGCACAACGAATAAACTCGTCCCAGACTCGCACAACGAAGAATCCTTCACACATCGAATAAACTCACCACAGACTCGCACAACGAACTTGCTAGCGCACGTAGCAGAGTTTCGCGAATTCTGATTTTAGTGCAGTGATGCCTTGATGTTTTGATGTTGTGATTTCTTTAGCGAACTAATATGAGTATGATTGTGATTCCTATGTGAATAATACATGATTATATGATGATTCCTATGATGTAATGATGACGAGTTTTGATGAATTCTATGATGACATGATATATGAGGATGATTTTGATTTGGATGATTTTGATGAACGATGATGCGCCTATGATGTTATTATGAGGATGATTATTGACGTGTGCATCATACATTCATGTGCATCCGGACTTCGGTTCAGGACCTGGATTTCTTTGGCTTCGGTCCCATTATGCGGATGTGAAGTATTTTGATGTGCTCTGTTTCTTGCATAGAATCGATCCTATTGATAGGGATCTATGGAGGGTTGATGGCTCAGTGTCCATCGAGCTGTGATGATTGATACCACATGCATGAGTCTTGTTGCATTTACATTTATGAGATAATTTGGTGTAAGTTATGATATTATGACCTTTGATGTTCCTTGATGATTATGATGATGTCGAATATGAAAATGATGCCATTTTATATATTGAATTCCTATATTGATTATTATGAATCGTTTTACTCACCATGCCTGTTTGAATGTTGCCTCCACGTGGGTAACGTGCAAATGACCGGGTTTAGCCGTGGATGCCGTCAAGGATCCTTTTGGAGTTTTTAGTTGTTGGCCATTTTGGTTAACTTAGAGGGTCTTGCTTTGATAGTGTAACATCGGGTTAGGGTCTTTGAGTTAAACCATATTTTATTTGATTTTGTTATTTTGATTATGTTTCCGTATAAGGAAAACTTTGGATTATGCCTTTTTGAGTTCCGCTGCCTTTTGAGCAAAATTTGATATCTTTTGGGAAAAACCCATTGTTTACGGAGCCTTGACCTATATTTGATTTATTGGGAAATGTACGCCCTTTGAGGTGATTTTTTATTGAGTTTAATATTTTACTCTGATATATGTAAATATTTTGCTATTTAATTGTGGGGTAGAAAAGGGTGTTACATTAGTGGTATCAGAGCAGGTCGATTGGTCCGGCCATGTTTTTATGTTGTTAGTTCCCTGTCAGTCAATAGTGTGAGGACACTATTGGATGAGTTGTTTCTTCTAACCCTGTTGGTGGTTGCAGATGGCTGGAAGAAATGATCATGCTATTGCTGATGCGTTGGAATCACTTACCTAAGTGATAGCCCAGAATGGTGGACTTCCATATGAGTTTTGTGCTTTGGGAAAGTTCCAGAGGACTAATCCTCCAACTCTTGTGGGCACTCATGATCCTGATGGTGTGCAGAAGTGGCTGAGAGTGATTGAGAATATTTTCTGAGTTATGGCGTGCACTGATGCTCAGCAGGTGCAGTTTGGTACGCATATTCTAGCAGATGAAGCTGAGGACTGATGGGATAACATCTGTCAGAGATTGGGAGGTGTTGGCATTGCAATAACTTGGGTTGTGTTTAAGGAAGAATTTTTGAGGAAGTATTTTCCTGAAGATGTTTGGAGCAAGAAAGAGGTGGAATTCCTTGAGCTAAAGGAATAAGACTATGGCTGAGTATGCGGCAAAGTTTGAGTCTTTAGTAATGTTTTGTCCGTATTACAATCGTGCTGACGCAGAGATGTCAAAGTGTCACTACAAGAAAATTGAAAAATTGCGACGGTTCATTTTGATAGATTACGACGGGTTTAACCGTCGCAATTTATAAGTTACGACGATTTCAATCCCGTCGCGAGGCCGTATTGCGACGGTTGTGAAAACTGTCGTACAAACCGTCGTTATTTTCACGACGGGTAGCTAACTGTCGTAATCTCCATATTGTGACGGTTTTCAACCGTCTTAACTTGCTTAATGATTTTTGTTTTATTGCGAAAGTATATTGTGGCGGTTTGAACCGCCGCAACTTGCAAATATTTTTTTAAAAAAAATCTGCACTCAGTTTAGGATTCATAATACAGCTATTGTAGGTTACATTAATGACAATCATCAATATTCATGATATTCACACAATATACAAGATTAATAATTAGATGACAAAACCAGAAGTTGTTGTACATTTGCAGCAAACACAATGCAACTTTTTTTTCTTACAAGGAGCCTGCAGCTGCTAGATAACTAGATGACAAAAAGGTAGTTTGGATAAACATTTTCCAATCATGTCAGCCTATTCAATAATAATGGATAATTTCCTAGCAGTAACTTCTGTACATCAGGTGCTAAGCACTCAGCGAATTCTCGACCACCAATATTTCCAACCTATAAATTACCACCAGTATTAAGTGAAATATGATGAAAAAACATTGCAGCAGATTCTGTTTACCTCATATGTCACAACCCATTTACCATAGCGCAAGGGTTTGTGATAATAATGTATATTACCAATATAAGATCATTGTCGTTGCATTGCATATTCTACTTGTTATGCATATATTACCTATAAAGTTTACATTATTAAAATCAAAGTAGTTCATTTAGCAATGATCTGCTATCCAAATTATCAACCTTTGATTTGATACCTAACATGTTCTTCTCCAAATCAGATGACTTCACCTCGAGCTCGCCGAGTCGTTCTCTGATTATTCCGTCGATCTTCGTTTTAATATCCGCCACCTCTTGTTCTTTCTGAACAAGAATTTCGGTTTTTGATTCAAGCTCTTTCTTTAATGATTTCATTTCTTTATCAGACTTGGCCTTCTCCATTTCCACGGTCTGGTGCTTGTTGATGAGCTCGATGTTTTCAGCAATATCATTGACAATCGCACGCAACCACTCCACGCGAAGTTGGGCAGACTCTACGTCTTTAAGAACGGCCAACAGTTCCTTGACTTTGGACGATGTTAAGTGCATTATTGAGGATGATTGCATCTCTTGGACCACAAAGCACGCGCACTCGATGTAATAGGACCGCATCACGACGGATTCCAAATGGCAGCTTTCGCCGATATCACCGTACTTTTTAATGATGGATAGGAGGATAGAAGCAAAGCTTTCCTTCACATGGTATTTTCCAACTGGAACTCGTCGCTCGAAACCACAGAGTCGTTCTCCTCTTCATCACTGTCCTCGTTATCGCAGACAATGTCAGAATAACTGAAGTGCTTAGATGCACCAGATGATGAGGTTAAACCTTCTCCAATGTCGTCGATGCAGGAAATTGGAACAACTTTTGTCGAAGAGTTTTTGTCTCCTGCTTGCTTTATTGGTATTGTGCCAGCTAAATGATCGGAACCATCCTTCGGTTGGACTTTTCCGTTGCCAGGATGCCAAAGAAACACAAGTCAACTATATGCACCGATTAACCAGACTCTGATACCATATTATTAAAATATATCATTTATTGATTCGCGAATCCATGTAAAATGAAGACGATAACAAGGAAGATTAAAAAATTCCAAGAAAAGAGAAGCCGATGTTACCTTGACATCAGAAGCTAGTACTATCTCATTGCTTTTTGGCTCCAACTTTTTTGTTTCGTAATATTTTGATATTGGCGATGCAACATCTCTGAGATAAATAGCTCCGACTTTTGAGTCTAGAATATTGACAAGAACCGGGAGTTCAGGCTTAGAACCTATCGTAATTCTCCTATCAAACTTCGACGAAATGACACCTAAAGTTCGAGAAGATTGTAATCAGAAACAAATTCATGATTGAACATTCACTGTCGTTGAATTTGATATCGTTAAATAGCAGATAGAAAATGAAAGGAGACCTGAACCGGCTCCCGACATTATTTTCTTGCAATTTACATCGCATTGATGGTAAGGATTAGATGCTTTAGAAAAGCCTGAGAGCGTGCGCTTTTCTTTGTTCTTCTTGTTGGTTTTACCAACATTCGTAACGCTTTTGCGATAAGCTTTGGAAACAAAACAGATTTGATAAGTGTCAAGAGAAAGTAAAATTGAGAAACAGAAAAGCAATATATAGTGGTAAGCAGTTATTACAGTTGATAGAACTATATAAGTGATTTTGTTTAGCCATAACTGGATGCCATAGACCAAATACTCATTAATAACTGAAATCCAGGAAGATTAAAAGTCGGGATAAGTCACCAATAATGCAGAAATGGTGTTTTATTTCGTAGAACTAAGTAATTTTATGTTCAGACAAACAACTTAACAGAGGTTCTGGGTTTGAACTCAGCCTCGGGCATACAACAATGTTAAATTCTCTTGAGAGAGAGAGAGAGAGAGTTTTTTCATCTATTATGCCCTTTCCTACCTCGAGGGGTTAGTCTCTATGGTCGTGCATAGAGGATATTAGGTTATAAAAAAATAGCTTAATTAAGTGCTTCTAGCATAAACGTTTATCAGGAACGTCTTAAGTTTTTGAAGGCCATGTGTAGGTTGGTTATAGTCAACTTTGGCAAAACTACAAGGGTTCTATTTTAGTCTAACCGTGACAAATATGTTAGGAGGTCTTATTTAACTACAGTTTAATTGCAACGAATTTGAGGCCTTGTGCGGTAGTCTGTCTTGCACGCCTTTAAAGACATCCCTGACTATGACAAATGTGTTATGAGCAGTGTTGTCGATGGCGGATGGTGGTCTATGGCGGAGAGCTAAAATCCTGCCATAGCGGCCACTCTGCGGCGCCGTTATAGCGGATTGTGACAGAAAAACCTGTAATATCGGCCGATATTTACCATTGCGGCGAGGCAAAAAACCACCATGTATATCTGCCATAGCGGGCATGGCGACGTAATTTGATAACGCCGGTTATGAGGCTCAATTTAAGCATGATTTAATCGTGTAAAATTTGAGGCCTTGAGCGGTATCACTCCTTGCACACCCTTAAATACGACCCGTGAGACCCTAGTTAATCGTGACAAATTTGAGACCCATGCAGTAACCCTAACGTTTATCAGAAAGTGCTTACTCATAACCGATTTCTATAACAAAATATAACAAAATAACAAACTCCTTTCAAGTCAGATATAAGTTATTTTTACAAGCTATCATCAAAACAAATTGCTAATACCATAAATTATTTTCATAATCTCTCCCAAAAGTGCTTCTATCAGCAAACAAATTAAAATCACATAATACAAACAAATAAGAAAAGAACTAACCAAAACTCTTTTTACTCTTAGGTGGCTTGGAATTTGATTCCTTGATCTTTTGCAAGCAATTTGATGTGCA